TAGATAGCAGAGGCTCGTGTCGTGCGCCAGCATTTCTCACGGAGCTGATCCGTGGGCTCGCCAATAATATTCCTCCGAAAATCCGCTTAATTAGACGCGCGCGAGCGTCGAAGGCTTATTATCGACGCGAGTTTTTTCTTTTCGGCCGCGCGCACGGCGACCGGCCGAGAGTTGCGTTTTACGAGCGACTCGTCTTTTTAACTCGAGAAAGGTTCTCCCTTGACTCGCCAATTCTTCAATGATCCCGAACGTTTCTCACTCGTGTGCATGCGCATAAGTGCATCACACGTGCGTGCGTAAATAATAACTCAAACGGCTCTGGAGTGCAGAGCGGGAATACACACGGCACGCAGGCGTATATATACGTATACGTGTATACACAAACTCGTCGGCATAACCCGCGAGAAGATCAAACTTTATTATTCTTTATAGGTGCGCTCGCTCGCTCGGTGCACGCCCACTCGGCTTTGAATTACGAAATAAATAAATAAAGGGAGGCTAGAGTGAGACGCGAAGAAGAGGAGGAGGAGGAGACGGCGACGACGGCGAGAAAGAAAACAAGAATCGCACGCACACGTACGCTGTTGGACAGGCAGCGCGGGAGAGTGTGTAAAATATAATGAGAGAAGAAGAAAAGCTCCAAGATATTTTTATGACAATTGTGAGTAGAGCTGAAAATCAGGTACAAGGGCTTGGCACCGTTGCGCTGAGAAGGACCTCGCGCCTATACGCGCGCGCGTGTCTGTGTGTGTGCATGTGCGCCTTGTGAGAAGCAGATGGAGGCTTGATAGGAAAAGAAAATCGCGCGCTCGTCGTTAGCTCGTTAACTCGCACGCAACACCTCGCGCAAGCCAGCTCGAATACCGGATATACTGCTGTCTGTCTTCTCCTCCTCCTCTTCTTCGCTGCGCTCACCTTTCTCTCTCTCTCTCTCTCTCTCTCTCTCTCTTTCTCTCTCTCCCCTTGTTCGTACGTGCGCGCAGAACGCTCGAGGCAGCCAAAGAAGCACAGCTCATCCTCGCCTCGTTGAGAGAAAGAACAGACTAGCCGACCTACTGCGATTCTTCAATTTAGCGCCTTCACATCCAGAGAGAGAGGGAGAGAGAGAGAGAGAGAGAGAACTTTTACGTCAGTGATGTGTGCGTGTGTCGGACAAACGTTAGAACGGAAAAAGCTCGACTTGTCTCCGTAGCTTCGCTCTTGTTAGCAGCTTTAATGGCTGCGGATGACGACAGCTGCTGCTTTTGCTACTGTTGTAGCTCGTCGTTCGTGTTACGGTTTTTTGACATAGCCAACATACGCACAGCTGCGCAGGCAAGGCCGAGGAGCGATTCTCGTCGTGTTAGCTTCCTCCCTACTCTTTATAAGCAAACATAGAGAGAGAGAGAGAGAGAGAGAGAGAGAGAGAGAGAGAGAGAGAGAGAGAGAGAGAGAGAGAGAGAGAGTGAGCCTAATGCCTTTTCGATAATTTTATCTTAATTGCCCGCCCGCCTGTGCGATATCGGGATCGCCTAATGGAAACTGCTGTAGTCCCCGAGACCTCATTGGCCTTGCATAAGCACGAGGTAATGCCGGAATTCGTTTTCTTCTTTGACCCGCGCGCGAGCACATTTTTATCAAAATGATCGCGCGACCAACCAGAAGTAAACGATGCCGGCGATTAGGGGATACTTCATTATAATACGGCTACCGTCAAGCCAGGTGTACACCGCGCCGCGCTGGCAGTGCGAGAGGACGAGCCTAATCTCAAATAGTCTTGTTTACAGGCTCTTTTCTCGTGTAGGCATGCGCGAGTATGGTGTTTTTGCGGCGACTCGAAGCCGATTTCTTTAATTAGGGTATCGATGCTACCGAAACAGATAGCACGCTTGCTGACGATTGCGCTACAACAGGACTTCTCGATCTCACTTCTAGACTGTGCCTCTTGCGCGATAGCACAGGTTTCCGCTTCTTCTCGCCAATTTGATAATTTGATAATGGTTAATCGTGGCCGCCTTTTGATATTCATTATCTATTTGTTTCGTACATTTCTACCATATCTAATCGTTTTACATAGACCTCCAAATGCTACCAAAACCTTGAATTATTTAAGAGGATACACTTTTTTTATAAAAACCCTACTTATCCCAATTAAATACACACTAAAAAAGGTTTTTGTATACGGTATTAAAAGGATTTTCCTCCACTTGGTATTTAGTGTGTACGATCGTTATCATTGAGTTTATCCAAGTATAACATTTTTCCTTCGTTGAAATCGCTCTGAAAGTATCGCGAAGAGCGCGTTTTTTTGTCTTTATCAGCTCGGAATAATTATCGGTCGGGCTGTGTGACTGAAAGCTCAAAACCGTGCCTTAATCTTTCGACAAACGCAGCGATAACAATCTTTATTCGGGCTGAGCGGCTGCCTCGCGCAAGCTTCAACTAGATAGACATTCTCGTTAAGGATCACAAAAGGAAAGACAGCCTGCATTTAATTTCGGCTAATGTATTCACTCGGTAAAAAACATGTATAATAAGATGTGAATCGAGCGGGCGTATCTCTCTATACGGTCTCTCTCCTACAAAATACATTTCCATAATCCTCATTAAATTATTTAATTTCTCGATGCGCCAGCAAGCTACGAGAGATCCCCAGTTATTCCAGTTATTTCTCATAAGAGACCTCAGAATGCGCTGAAAAGGAGGGGGGAGGGGAGAAGGAAAATCCCGTGCGGCAACGAAAATAAAAACAAAAAAACTACACGCGCGCGAGAGACAATACAATGAAAAAGGAGAAATTAAGCAAGAGACCGAAATCGCCAATGAAACAGCTTAGAGTACACGGTAGCGTAGCGGTTCCTGGTTAGTTTTCCATATCAAAAATATGTCTATAACAGGCGGATGTTGCGCAGTGTATTAGAGAGGGCGAGGGAGCTGCGGCAACTTGCGGTCTTGATAAGACATTCTTTCACGGGTCCCTTCGAGCTACCCGCATGCCAGCATCTCCGCGGCAATATGCGCCTACCCCCCCCCCCCCCCCCCCCCCACTCTATGCAGGTTAACGGATCTCTATTCAGCTTTACCAGCGCGAGTGTGTGTATCACCGAATTTCTGTCGCAGAGATTTTTTGGGAACACTCGCGCGCAAGAATATGAAAGAGGTGTGGGACAGGGTGTGCGTATACACCAGGGAGGGTCATGGCGGCTTTGGTGAATGGTTTTTTAAGAAATAAAGAGCAAGCCTTTAAATGTCACAATAGAACTTTTTATTTTTCTCTTTCAAGTTTGTTTCACTCTTGTTGCATTCTTTTTTATTCTCTCTTTTCGAATTTCAATTCTCCGGCCTGGCGGCGGCGGCGTTTTATCCCCGCCGCTTGCCGGACATGCGCTCGCCGCGATACAGGCCATTTACTTATTTTATACATGTTTCGCTTGGGAGTATCTTACAAAATTTACAGAGAGTACGGGCGAAAGCTTGGCGCTGCTTTTGCCTATCGAATAAGCATTTCTACATGCAGGAAGAGAGCGCACAATTTTCACACGGCCCGTCTAAACATTCGCAGCGACAAAATAAATACTAAAGTAACATTGCACATGCGCGCACGCACACTTGCTCGCGGTGAGTCGTTTGTTTTCGCATTTTCAAATGCGTCACCACGAAAATTCCTCGAGTCTTGTTGCTTAATGCCATCTAAAATCACGCGGTCCTAATACAAAATTCATTAGAAAGTTATATCACCGTGAGCGTAGCACGAAGACGCTCGATGCTCTGTACACGCTGTGTACACGCTCACACGCGCGCACGCGCACCTTCCCAAGTTTTTTGCGTGTTCTTACTAGAATATCTAATACCGGCAGAAGTACGTCCGCGACCCGATCGAGATTACGCTTTTTTCACTTGTGCAACATCATCAATTATACAACCAAGCAGCAGCGCAGCTGCACTTTGCATTCCTCCTCTCGACGCTGCGCGCGCTGTTATGGACAAACAGGACCTCGGCTTGTTTCTACAGACGGATTTTCAATTGAAACGCATATTCAATTAGTCGCGAATAAAGGGGTACGTCTATTCGAGAGAGTGAGAAAAGTCGATCGAGTCGTCGGCGCGTTCCCAACGTGGCTCTTTCGTTCATCGCCACTCCGGAACTGAATGACTTTTCATTCTTTTCAATATGGAGTGCTGTACACTCGGCCAGTAGTTCTCATTCTCTCTCGCTGGCTGGTTGGTGCGCGCGAGCCCAAGAAAATCCCAACGGCACAATAATAACAATCATTTATCGCGGCGGCAACGCAACGCACCACATCCGCTCGTCACTGCTGCTGCTAGTGCACTATCGCGCGGGTTTTTCCTCTGAGCTGCCGCCACAAGTGTCGTTATTATTTTTTTTTGTTTTGAGTGCATACGCAAGGTCTAATTAGCGATGTCCGTGCTTGTGAAAGCGAGAACGGGCGTGGCATCGAGATTGAGAAGAAAAAAGAAGGGCAGGGGAAGAAAAAAAATTCTACCGTCTGTGAGCGATTCTGTTGGAAGCGATTATATACACACATACACATATACAGATACATGCACGTACATATTAAATACATAGTCGCTGTGAGCTACTAATTGTTTATTTACAGACTTAGCCGGGCGTTATCGCACGTTGTATTTGCTGTACAAATGTTGTTCGTGCATCTCGTGCATCGTATGCGTCTTTCTCTTTGTCGGAATCTTCCGAGCGACAGTTTTGTTGTATATACGGCACAAACTAGAAACACACCGCTCGTACGCTCGTACGTTCCCACACAATAAGATAAGATTACACATTTGCCGATTGGTTTACACCTCCTTCCGGTATTTACACGCGCACAAACAACAAACTGCCACAGCAACACTCGCATATTGCACTTGTACATATGTACTCAGTCATCTATATCGATATATAGTGAAGGTAGTCTCCGCGATGAATAATTGATTAGCTGGGAGTAAAGTGTGCCGATAGCGAAGAAGCAAAGGTAGGAGCAAGAAGCGCGGGAGGAAAACTAGATGTGCACGGCGAGCGTTCGCGACCTCTCGGTGGGGGAGGCCATGTGATTGTTGTGCTGTCGTCGCACCGGCGTCGGTTGCTGCCTGCGCTGCTGTCGCTGATTGTTGGGCACGTCGGGCAGGGCGAAGCGAAGCTTCTCCCAGAACAGCTTGTCACCCCACTGCAGATAAGTGTTGGTCTTGAGATAGAGCCTGATGTCGGGGTCGAGGTCGCGCTGCGGCACCTCGCCCACCAGCACGAGAATCAGACGGCGCCGCCTGTCTCTCAGCACTTGATGATGCGCCGACTTGAAGTCGAAGCGACACCACTCGCTCTTGATGAAGTTGTCCGATAGCACCATGATGGTACGCCGCGACGACTCGACCGCCTGGACGATCGTGTCGGCGATAAAGCTGCCAACGGGAAAGTCTCGGTAGTGCAGGCACAGCTTGTACGAGGGATTGCCCATCTCGAGTACGGGGGCCAACTCCTCCGCGACGAACGCCTCGTCCTTGGAGCTGTAGCTGACGAAGGCGTCGAAAAGCTTGTCCCTGTCGTCGCGGTCCACGTCGGCGTGCCGGTAGAACAGCCGGATGCCGAAGCGCGAGTAGAACCAAACTCGCACCTCGTGCCGGAAAAGGAAGCCCAGCATGCAGATCAGCAGCAACAGCAGAAAGGCTACCAAAGTGCTGACGAGCAGCGGCAAATAGTCCTCGAGGGCTTGGCGTTCGATGATGGTTTTGGTGAAGTTGCCGGCCACTCCGCTACTCTCGCCGATGGGCTCGAGCTCGGCGCACATCGACCCATTGACTTGGTCGGCTTTGCCGCTTGACAGCGAGAACCCGTAAGCGTCGTCGCTGTCGCCGAGGTCATTGCCGTCTCCGAAGGCCGCTTCGTCGTCGAGCGACGAGTTGTAGGCGCACCTGAGCGCCGCCGAGTCCACGACGCGCACTGACGGGTTGCTCGACCACTCGCGGTACTCGCGCACGAATTCACAGTCGCAGGTCCACGGATTGCCGGCGAAATTGACCTCGATGCTGACCGGCAAAGTCCAGACCGCCAGGGTGGTCAGGCGGTTGTTCTGCAGGCTCAAGCTCGCGAGCGCGGGAAGCGCCTGGAAGGTCTCGTTCGCGATCGTCCAGAGCTTGTTGCGTTCGAGGCGCAGGGTTCGCAGGGCGTCGAGGCCGAGGAACTCGTGACCCCGCAGCTCCCGAAGACCGTTGTCCTGGAGGTGCAGCTCTTCGAGGTTTCGCAGTCCGTTGAACGACCGATTGTGCAGGAGCTCGACGTTGGAGCCGTTGAGGAAGAGAGTCTTCAACTTCTTGCGCCCGATGAAGGCGTGACTAGCAATGGAGCGCAAGTCGTTGCCGTCCAGGTAGAGGTGTGTCGCGTCCATGGGGATCTGGCCGGGCAGTCTTGCCACGTGGCCGGCCGCCGCGCAGTCCACGACGTTGGCCGTCCAGGTCTGGTCGTGGTAGCAGGTGCAGTTGGTCGGGCAGGTCATCTCGCAGTCGCAAGCGTCGAAGTCGCAGCAGTGGCAGATGGCGAAGCAGTGCGTGTCGTATTTACAGAGGAACTGCGAGTGCGAGGCCTCGACCAGCGGCACGTAGAGCCGCTCGCGGTCGTAGAGCAGCTTGCAGTAGATGCTCTCGAGGTCCATGACTCGTGGCTGCACGCGATTCTGGTTCTGTCGGTTGACGCGCTGCAGCCACTCCATCGTGCAGTCGCACAGGTAGTCGTTGTCGCCGATGTAGAACTCGGGCAGAGGCTTGTCGCTCGGCACTTCCGTTATCCGCAGCGCGTACGGCTCTATCCTGCGTATTCGATTGCCTTTCAAATCGACGCGCGTCAGATTGGGCTTCTTGAAAAAGGCGTAGCTCTGCACTCGCGATATCAAATTGTCATTCAAGTACAGCATTTCGACGCTGGTGGGTATGGAGCTACCGGTGATCTCGGTCAGCCGGTTCACGCTCGCGTCGAAAGTGTTGAGGTGCAGCTGCGACTCGATTTCGTAGTAATTGCCGAGCTCGCTGATTTCATTAGCGTGTATGTCGAGCCACAGCAAGGCCGTCGGTATCATTGCGTAATCGAAAGTCCGCAGCTTGTTATCGCTGACGTTGAGCCAGACGAGGTTGGGCAGATTGGAAAAGAGGTTGCTTATTGTCGTCAGCTGATTGCCGTCGAGGCGAATGGCCTGGAGCTTGAGATTTTCATCAAAGGTGCCGGGTTCGATGCGCTGAATCCGATTGCCCGATAAATTCAAGATGTTGAGCTCCCTGATCTTATCGAAAATGCCCTTGGTCAGATTGCCAATGTTGTTGTCGATGAGCCTTAGCCCGCTGAGATGAGTCATGTGATCGAAGGCACCCTTGGGCAGCTCGGAGATGAGATTTTCGCCGAGGTCAAGGGCCCGCAGCAACGGCGTCGCTTTCAACGCCTCGGGTATGCCCATCAGTCGATTCCCATTTAAATGCAGATCCTGCAGAGACGAGGCGTTCTTCAGCGAGGTCGGGTGTAAATCAGTCAGCCGATTGTTGTCGAGCGACAGCAGGCTCAGCACGTGTAGACCTCTGAAGGTGGTTGCGTCGATCGTCGACAGCCGGTTATCACTCAGCACCAGCGTATGCAGATTGGAGAGCGCGCCGAACGTATTCTCCTGCAGATAGTCGATAAGGTTCTCCTGCAGGCGGAGAATCTGCAGGCTGTACAGGTCACGGAAGACCGAAGACTCTAGCCGGCTGATTTGGTTGTCCGACAAGTCCAGCACGACGAGGCGCACCAGGCCGGTGAACGTGGCCGAGTTGATCCACTCGGCGGATAATTCGTTGGCCGACAGGTCGAGCACAAGCAGTTGCGTGAGCTCGCTGAACAGTCCGGGCGGCAGCACGGCCAGAGTGTTGTTTCGCAGGTGTATCTCCTTGATGTCCCGCGACTCGGCAAAGAGGTCCGGCGGCAAGCTCCCCAGTCGATTGTTCGAGAGCTGGATGCTCGTTAACGCGCCGAGGCCCTCGAAGGCACGGTCGGCTATAAATGCGATGTTATTGCTCTTGAGGTTGAGCGAGTGCAGCCGTGAGAGTGCCGAGAAAACCGCCGATGGCAGAGACTCGATACTATTGTTACTGAGGTCTATTATCCGCAGATTTGCCGCGCATCGGCTGCCCAGATTGAACTTGAAGCTGGCAAGTTCCCTCAGCCGATTTCTCGTGAGATTAAGCACCTCCAGGTTGAACAGCGGGCAGAGCGAGCCCTCGGGCAGACTCCACATGTTGTTGTTGCCCAGATCCAGTTTCTCCAGCTGGCTGAGCTCCTCGGTGAATGCCCGCGGCGACACCTCTAGCGCCATCGACGACCATTCGCTGTTGTAGGTGCGCACCGTCAGGTTCCTCAGCTGCTTGAGCCCCCGGAACGCGTCGTCCGACAGGTTGCCGATCTTGCAGTACTCGATGACGAGCTCCCTCAGCTCGACGAGCGGCCGAAAGCTGCCCGCGCTCAAGGAGCTCTGGTAGAACAGTGCGTCGCTGCACTCGAGCCTCAGCCTGACCGTGTGCTGCGGCTGTATCAAGCTGAAGTTGGTGTTCTCCAGCTCGCTGTTGATGGTGCGCAACTTGCAGACGAGCGCGACCTTGTCGTCGTCGTCGTCGTCGTCGTCACCGCCGCCGCCGCCGCCGTCTATGAGCCACTGGCACTCGTCGGGCGGCTTGTACCTCAGGGCCTTGCTGAGGCTGGCGCCCAGCACGCAAAGCACCGTGCCGAAGAAGAGCGCGAGAACGGCCGGGTTGGCCTGCATCCTGATGCCTCCTCAGACGTCGGCGACGGCTTGCTGTGGAGCTGGCTGCACGCGTTCCATCTTATCGCGCGGCATGACTCGCGGTCCTCCGTGTCGTCAGCCGGCACCGACAACGGCCGAGACCGAGCTCATGTTGTCGCCGGCTAGCGCGTCGGCGCACGATTGATGCCTCCGCTCGAGTTGGGCATTTGTCAGTCCGCGCTCGCCTGCGTATCTCTCGCTCGATCTCGCCTGCCTTCGCGCTCGATGAGTCCGTGCGTCGATTCGATCAACTGCTGCCGGCTGCCTTGGCTGGACGCTCGTGAGGAAGCCGCGCTCGCGCTGCTGCACTGGCAGGATTCTCGGAGCGACTGGCGAGCGCCTCGGCGAACCCCACGGGCCCCAACTAGTTCTCTGTGTCTCTCTCTTTCTCGCGGCTGCCTCGTTCCATGTACTTAACTTGGGCCGAGCTCTCCCACCGCGCTCGCGCTCGCGCGACTCTCTCCCTCCTTCTCCCTTGGGCCTCCTTCTACCGTATCGCGGCTGCCGCCGCCGCCGCCGCCGCGCCGCTCCGCCGCGTTGCTGTTGCTGTCCCTTTCTCTTCCCCACGCGCATCGTATTATATTTTACCTGCGAGAACGAGAACAGTGAGAGAGTCGGGTGGGTGGGGGGGATGAGGGAGAAAGAGAGGAGAGTACCGCAGGGCCTGAACGTTTCGCGGTGAGCCTATAAAAACAAGACACGGATACAATCTTTCGGCCCTCACAGTGGCTCGTCCGACTCGGCGCGCCGCAGCCTCCGTCCTCCTCGCGAATATCTATACTGTCCTCGTCATTTTGCTTCACTCGGCCCTTGTTCCCTTCTCTCCTTCTCTTTACTCTTGCACACCTTTTTCGCCAACTTCAATACCTCTTATCATCATTCAATAAAGAAACTTACAGCCTATACACTTAATTTCGAATTAAGATTGTGACTTGGCTGCAACTTTTTTTATATTGCATTTATTTCAAAGAAAACACTTTGTCGAATGGTAAAAGGAAAGCGAAGTAATAGTTTTGTGGGTGAAGAGCTGATAATTGAGACGTTTCGCGTGACTAGAACCATTCCAATTTCAATAAATCAGCGAGAATATCGAAACCCGGTTACCATTAACGTCAGGAAGCTCTGAGTTATAATCTAGACACTGAAGTCGTGAAAATCAACATTCGGAACGATTTCTATTAATTTCGCCAAAGCTCTATGGCGCGCTACCGTTACAGATTCCACTGTTATTTCTTTCAAGCATACATACGCTGTGCAGTTAACGATATGGCCATTAAATGCGAACTTATTTTATTAGTATTATTTAGATAGATGGACTAGCTGCAAGCTACACACCCGCGGGCATTCTGAGAGTAGCGTTCTTCTTGATGTTTTAATAATGGGACAATAAATCGACGACTGTGTGGCAACGGTACACCAACGTGCCGCATGCAAATTCATTCGTTATTCCATCGTTAGAAAGCTTTATTTTTTTCCCACGTTCTTCGTCGATTCGCAGCTTCGGCAATTCGGAATCACAAGTAAAAGTACATCGATCGGCTAAGCTTAGCGATTTTTAATTGCCGTGAGGTGCTCGTACCGTACCAAGAGCGTTAGATTCGGCGACACGAAACTCGTCTCTCTTATCTTTGGGACGCAGCGCGGTGCGCTCAATTAATTTCAGCGAGTCTCGTCGCCGATGGCAGCTGCAGCGGCGCCCCCCCCCCCCTCGCTCCCGCGCTCGCGTTCGCAGTATCTCGTGGCGTCGGTTGTCAGCGAAACAGCCGATTTGGAGGTTGATCGCGCGCGCCGCGGCAACATGTTCGGAAATTGAATATTTTTGCAGCTGCCTCGTAACTCCCGTGCGTGCCGGGGAGCAGCCACTCGTTGCCCCACCGGGCGGTTTACTGCGCTTCGCATAAAAGCGCGGAATACGACAGTAGCGCGACTAGCTGGAAGGTCAGCCAAGCCCATAAGTTTTCGGCGAATGACTTTTACGCCGTCATGCCGCAAACACACTTCACCCCACGTCGCGTACTCTTCGTTTTCTTAGCGGGCGTTCGCGCGCTCGCGCGGGACTCGCATAGGACTTTATTGTGGTAATAAACATGGCCGCTCATCGCTTTTATTCTTCTCGTTCGCCCTCCCGCTCGCTCAGTCAGCCTCTGGAGACGCGTTTCATTTCCATCTTTCTCGCTCACGATAGCCCCACGGCGGTGTCCCCGCTCTTGGCGCGCACCGCCTTTTTGTTCGGCAATCTTGTTTTATTTGTTTCTGGGCTTTCTTGCACTTCTTCCCTCTTTTTCCCCGCGCCCTTCCTTTTGGCTTTTTTACTCGGGCCGAGCGAGGGCTCTCTTTTTATCACCGCGACTGACGCGGTTCGTCGCGCAATTGAAATCTCGCCGTCGCCGAGAGAGCGGATGAGCCCGAGTGCTTGGCAAAAACAGAAGAGTCGGGGCTCTGTGTGTTGCGCTTGCGGTACGTCGAGGACACGGGGGCAAAAAGAATCGCGCGACGAATCGACCTCAATGACGCGACGCCGTCACACTGTCGTCTTTTTTTTAACTTGTCGCTTGCCGCTCCATGCCGCCGCCGCCGCCGCCACCACCGGCTTACTCTCTGTATTTTTACCCCTTTGTGCGCGCCAACGGCTTGTCGGAAGCGCTGAACGCGCGAGTACGGACGAGCTTTCGTCGCACTCGGTTTGTTTGCGTAGCTACCGACAATATCTCGCCTAATTGGTTCTTCAGTCTTGCTTGTCACGTGTACATTTTCGGTAACGTTTTTTCCTCTCCCCTACCTACCTACCTACCTACCTACCTCCCGTACTAAAACCCCGTACTAAAACTCGTAAGAAGCCCTTTAGCGCTTTGTTACGACCGATGGGTAGGATGTCACTGTACAAAGTGTAGTCTATACATCGATCAGCTTGTTAATACCTAACTGACCTATTCTTCTTTATAAGTCATTTCCATCTCTTGTTATATTTCTTGTGATAATTATACTATTTTTTTTTTGCGATTGTCACATTATTACTTATATATATTCACATAGGTTCTTATTAGCGTAAATACACAACATGACAACCAGCTATCGGTCTTTTAGTCATCAAATTGCCTGAAATAAGATAACGTTAAACAACCAGTGCATTCCATCTAAAATCTGTGGGAAAAATGTCACTATATAAAATGGCCAGTTTTGAAGACAATATGATAAATCAGCGATAACGAAATACGTCAAACTGTCGAAAGCGCTACATACTATTACAATATCGGTTTGGAATGTGACTCGTCCAGGAAAAAAAAGTCGCGCCGTTTTCCGGATTCGCCTCTCGAATTTGTACAAGTTATTTGCAGACTTATTTTTTCCATCCACCGCCACGAGTGTTTGGGTTGATGCTCGCTAAGCGATCCAGCCTAAAAGAAGGCGAGCATTTCAGGGTCGAGCACGCACAGACGCACGCGACCAAGCGGGATTCCCACAGGATCTGTGCTCGCGCGGCCCCTGGCCCCTTCCCTCGAATGCGATATTTAATTTTTCGCGGCACACACCAAATGCTGTCGCGCGCTCTGAATAATTACTCGGGCGGCGAATTTATGTGGACCGTAATTGTAACCGGTGGCGAATTGGCGAGCTGGAGTGATGGCCATTTTCATTTAAATGAAGATCCCGTTTCCGCGCGCGTGTTCGAGCCGAGAGATCCGACGCGTTTTTTTGCTCGGTCGCGCGGCGGCCGACGCTGGAGCCGAGCCTGGAGTCGAGCGCGCCCTATCCGCCGCTGAAATCGAGAAGGTCCACTTAAAAAGCACCTCACATAATGTCCCGTTTTCCCTCTTTCACGCCATCTTCTTTCTCTCTCAATCGCGGTTTAACGCTTTGGAGGACACATTCTCTGTCCCTCGGGGTAGATCCTTTGTACCCAATATCTGAAAGCGCTGTCCCAGCGCCGGTGCTACGTGTCTATGGGCTGAGATTTATCGTCGCCCCTATTTTTGTCTAATATGCGGACTAATTGAATAGTACATAGTGCACAGAGCCCAGTGAGTTATGAGGGCTCGATAAATCGCGATCCGCCGTGTAGGTGTCGCAAGTATGTCTACAGGCTCTCCAGAGAGGGGTGCTTGCGACGACTCTCAACGGGTCGTAAATAAATTTTCAGTAATACGCTTGTCACTGAAATAGCAACCGTCGAGCGATAGGTCGTTCTGAAAAACACACAAGCACGGGCACGTACGCACATTTTGTTTCTCTCGAGAGAAGTGCTTGCGAGTGAATTTAAATGAAGCCATAGCTCAGCTGCTCATCTCGTTAATAGCCGATTAAAAGGCGAACGAGAGACGGACTTGAAAGGAAGCGCGCGAGCGCGCGAGCGAAGACTCTCCCTATCTCTCTCTCGCTCTCTCTCTCTCTCTCTCTCTCTCTCTCTCTCTGCTCGGAAATAAAAATCAACTGGTCAGCAAGCTCAATTTACAGGTGTGGTTGTGCTGCACGCGAAATGGGGGATTGAATTAAAAGTTTATTGACTCCGCGCGCTCTGTACGGCGAAGGCCGCCGTGCTAAGAGAAAGAGATCGCAGCTCGAGATGCGTGTACCTGCAGATTACAGCCAATCAGCTGCGAGAGAGCGCAGCTCATCTCGCCTCGTTGTGAAGGCCCCTTAACGCCTCCGCCTCCTTACAAACTCTCTGCGCGCGAGAGAGAGAGAGAGAGGACCTTGGCGTTCGGAGCCTTGCCCCGCGGTCACTGATCGCTCTCTGGCCGCCGCCTTGCTGCCGCTGCTATCTTGTCTTCTCTCCATTCTTTCCGTTTTTACGCGTACCCGTCCGCAGATTTATTTGGCCTCTTTTTGGCTTTGAGCGAAACACGGTAGCCGCATTGAGAAAAAAAAAGAACAAAACGATAACTTTAATTTTAATTAACTTATCTCGAGATGTTCATTCTCGTTGCTTTTTCCCGGGCAAAAATAAGCGATAAATCCGCGAGGGCGAGGGACTCTCGTCG